ATTTCCAAGAAGACAATAGTATTTTATTATTAGCAATCAAAAGTGAGAACTTATACAAAGTTATTTTGAGGAAGGGAAAAAATGGGGGCTATTTATAATGTTTTGGGACTATGTAGATGTTAATTTAATGTCTATCTATCATGTGACGCATATAGGATTACATGGTACATCACATGTTACATTTAATTTAAATTTCATTACACTAATTAGTAAGTTCTAGAACGTTTATCAAAAATCGCTAATTACTAAAGATTTTACTATGACAATCAATATAGACTATTAAGATAAAAATGTTCTATAATCCAAAATAGGAGGGTTTGCTAATGCGTAGTAACAGGTTTTTGCATTAGTTTTTGAGATATTAGCTTCCAAATATGAACGTTCCCTATACTCACTTATTAATTACTAATATATATATATATATGATAAAAATAGTAATACTAATGATAATATAATAAAATATTGATAAGAATATAATAATAATATGTTAAAATATAAGAAAAAGAAAAGAAAAGAGAAAAATATTAAAATTCAATGAAATTTTGGGTACTACAATATAAAAAACAAAAAGTGAAATAAAATTAATAAGTAAAAATTTTTATCTGCAAACAAAATCGTTGAAAAGTAATAATAAATACTGATCCTAATAGAAGTAACAAGGTGTTGAGGTGGTCGTCAATAGTAAGGTGTTTACCTCTTGAGCTAGATAATTAGTGATGAAAGTATTCTATTAACCTGTAACACAAGAATCTAGGCAGGTTGCCATTAATCTTGCCAAATAATTATATTAATGGCCTATGAAATGGACTTTGTATGATGGTGTTTGAATGATAGTACAGAGAAAAAAGAAGATATTGATAAGAATGAAAATAAAGTATCTAACAAAGATATGAAGCCTGATACACCAAGTTGTGAGACAAGTTTATTTAAATGGTTCTGGAATAATATGAGTTGTGATGATTCTGCAGAGAAAGAAGAAAGTATAAAAAAAAGACAGTTAGTGTAGATGGAGAACAGTTGATGAAGAAGGTAAAAATGAATATAAGTGAATTGAAAGTGAAAAACTTATCTGAAAGCTTTTATTTGGAAGAAGATAGAAATAATAAAGTTCAAGTATGAAAATATTGCCAAAAATCTGCTGATAAGGAAAATAAAATTATAAGGAATGAAAACAAAGCACTTATCTGTTACCAAAATGTTAATAATACTAATGAGGATGAAAAAGAAATACTTGAGGAAGACTTGGAGCATGATGAAGATGAAGAACCTAAATTGGATAATGATTATGAATTATTATTTGATAGAAGAAAAACAATTAATAGGAATAATGTATCTGAGTACATTGTAATGAAGTTGAAGTCAAAAAAAATAATAATGGGGATAAAGCTGCAGATGGTAAAGCTAAATTCATTAGAATTGAAATAGAAAATTTTGAAGAAATACATGAAGTATAATTACTACTATGAATATGAATTCTGTAATGAATATTTTGCTTGTGAATATGATTTAGTAGTAGAGACCAAAAGAAATAATAGGGCATGATAGGCATAAGAAATGCAGTAGATAAGTTGGATATAACAGAGTGAAAAAAAAAGGAATAGAAGCAAAAAATAATAGTGTTGATGATGGAGTTACAAATCATATAGAGAACAATTATAGGAATAGTAAAGGTAAAATGAGTGTTAGTAAAATTATTTAAAGAAATAATGATAAGCTTAAAGAAAAAAAAAGAGCAAAGGAAAGGTGAACACTTACTTGAAATCTGAATTAGAAGAATATTTGATTGTAGAAGAGTCATGCTGAAGAACTTATGAATAATTATGAGAATATGAGAGTTAGTTTTGCAGATATTGTTTGAAAGTAGGCTATACTTATGCTGAAAACTTTAGAGATGAAGTTTCTGAAGCTCTAGCTTGTGTCATGGTGATATACAGTATGCAGTAAACTTGTATAGGAATAAAGATAAAGTAAATGATCATCTTGTACTCATGATGTATGTGATAAGTAAGTGATCAGAAATTAGAAATCTAGTAATAATCAATTATGCAGCCATCAGTATATATAATAGTATATCGATATGTATGAATTGGTAATATGTAAATTAATAAGCAGTGAATAAAATATTTCATAATAGAGTTTATAGAAAATAGTGTGATTAGTAATAAATAATTAAAAGATAAAATGGTGTAATCAATAATTGGTATTTTAGTGATAGTTAAATTTGTATATAAAAAGCAAAAAGCAAAATAAAATTAATAAGTAAGAATTTTTATCTGCAAACAAAATTATTGAAAAGTAATAATAAAAATACTGACCTTAATAGAAGTAATAAGATGTTGAGGTGATCGTTAATTGTAAGGTGTTTACCTTTTGAGCTAAATTGTTAATAACAAAAATAACCTATTAACCTGTAATACTACAAATAAACATCTCTACAGAAAAGAAAAAACAACTTCGAAAAGAAGTTCAAAAACAAATTATTATACTATATTAAAACTCAAGATATAAAATTATAAATATAAGAGACTTTAGTATCACCAATTCTCATATTAATCAAAAATCCTCAAAAAAGATATCAATTCCAGAAACCCAACTTATCAAATATCTAATTAGTTATCAATTTAAAGATATCTATTGTTTTTTTTTCTTAATATCCAAAACTTCACTTTTCAACTTGCTAATACTTTAAGTAAAATTAATTAATTTGAACTAATATAATCAATATAAATATAGATTATACAGATATTCTACCAAATAGTAGTTTCAAATCAGATTACAATATTATAACAATAGAACTATCAATTATAATTAACAAATCTAAACTACAAAAACAACATAAAAGAAGTCTAAACAACTATACAAACCATGCTACAAAACTTTAACTTACAAGCTAACTCAATTTTTAACTAATCTTTGCTTAACAAATTCTAAAAAATTTACAAAAAACTCTCATTAAGACTGCTACCAAATGTATTCCTTTTACAAAATTTTTTTTTTTATCTTTACAATGTTGCAGAAAGGCAAATTTTTATTAATATTTTAGTAATATATTCTTGGTTAATGAGAGTATATTTAGCACATATGTGACTTTTAGTTGTCTATTTAAATAGTTTGCTCTAAAGTTCTATACTATATACTGTATCTGTAACTTAACTAGAAGATTACCTATTTAAACTCTCTGATGTCCTCTGTCCTGCACCATCACTACAATTATGCCAGCTTATAATTTTATGCTGCTTCAATTGAAGGTCACTCAAATCAACATGTGCTATACTATTTGTGTCTAAATTCTATAGATAAACCAATAGAATTTTCATATTACTGGATTGTCCTAGAGGAGGTGTAGTATATACTTCTCTAATCTTTCTATGTTTAACACATTTTTAGATTAGGTTTCAAATATCTTCTACAGCAGCTGAAATCACTACTAGCAGTTAGAGGCTAACCATTAAACTGCACAATTTCAGTATTTGGTGCCTTTACAAGGTTCGTTTTGATCCTGATACCTGCATCAGACCAGTTCTTATACTAATCTTTTCTAAACTACCAAACCAGTTAGCCCAGATAGGTTATTGTATCTAAGCTTTAAGTGCTTTCTGGTTTTTACTTCCCTTGATTTCTAATTTTATAGCAGAGGACCTTTTCCTCTAATATAACTCTGGTAGCCAGGTTAATAAACACTTCTTGCCTCAAGATTTTGTCTAGTTTTTTGGTCTCTAGTTTTTAGCTTTTTACAGTATTGTCAAAGATCTTCATTACCTTCTTGCTTGGGTCTTGCTAAACAGATTTCAATTATTCCAGTTTCTTGAATTTGGATCAGCTAAGAGCTTCTATTTCAAGATTTAGTACTAAGTTTACAGGTAATATACCCAACTAATCATTGAATAATTGTTATTAGAACACAGGCCTATTTTTTTAAAAATGTCTATAGTGGGATCAAACTTTAGAATTGCAGCTTGGAAGGTGACAACTTAATTACTTCTCTAAGTTACTACATTATTTTCTTTTCACAAAATTAAAACTATCAAAGAAATTAAAAAGACTATTTCATTAAAACAAATATCACTTTTTTACAGATTTAAAGAAATTCAATATCTCAAAAATTACACCTCTTCTACTAACTTTTTTTATCTTATAAAAAGTATATAACTTAATATTCTGACTGTCTCTTTTAAACACTAATACCTACTTTATCTTAAATTAAAGAATTTCAATAAATTAAAACTGCTTTTAATATTTAACAACAACAAACTATCTATTGAGAGATCTAACAAAAAATTGAGAATTAAAACTAATTCTTTCTAAAAATGTCTAAACTTTTTTATAAAAAAATTTTCAAAAGATTTAATAATATTTATATTGATAAACTACTTCTTGACAACTCTCTTCTTATAGAACATAATGAAGTACTCAATACAATTCATAATTACTTCTTTGAATACTTCAAAGAAAAACCTTTTCAACTAAGGTAGCACAAATAAAATTAATTGGTTTTCATATCTGGCTGGGTCTGAAAATAGAAAATTTCAAAATTTTATTTTATGTCGCAGCAAGTAGATAGCCAATCAAATTGTGTTATTTTATAACATGTAAAAATTAAACTTTAAAAAATAGTAGTATATAATTTCACATATTCATATACATACATACATATATACATATAAGTATCAATAATTGCATGGTGCTCTTCTGAATAAATTGGGATTAGAAATTTCTAAACCTGCTTAATAACAATAGTAACAAAAAAAAAGGCAGATTAAGCTACTTTTACATTGATAAAAGGTAAAAAATAATAAAAATTAAAAAAAATACACCATTTGACAGCGAATTTGCATAAAAGAACAACCAATTTAGTACAGATAAATATTCAATTTTATACAAGAAAATAATGATAAGTTGTAATTTAATTTGAATAATCTTGATACCATTTGAATCATCTCATTGAGAGGATTCAATGATATAAAAAATTATTCAAATTAGATTACAAATTATCATTATTTTCTTGTACAAAATTGAATATTTATCTGTACTAAATTGGTTGTTCTTTTGTGCAAATTCGCTGTCAAATAGTATAAATAAATCAGACTCAAAATGTATTGTAAAATTCTATACGTAAAAATTTAATCAAATAAGCAATTATTTTTTTTTTATTTTTTTTTTTACCTTTGCAATGTCGCAGAAAAGTAGATTTTTATTAAACATTTTTAGTAGTAATTCTTGGTTAATAAGAGTACATATAGCCATATATGCAACTTTTGTCGTCTAATTTAAGTAGTCCGCTTGAAGGTTCTACACTATATGCCATACCTTTAACTTAACTAGAAGATTATTTATTTAAACTTTCTGATGTTCCGGTCCTGCACCACCATCTTAATCACACCAATCTATAACCTTGTGCTACTTCTTATTAAAGGCCAACTAGATCAACATCTGCTATACTACTTGTGCTCTAATTCTATAGATAACTCAGTAGGGTTCTTATACTATCAGGTTGCTTTAGGAAGGGTGTAGTACATACACCCTAATCTTTCTATATTCTGCACACTTCTAGATTAGGCTACAAATACTTTCTGCAGCAGTTGAAACTATCACTAGTAGTCAGGGCGAACCTAAACCACACAATTCCAGTATTTTGTGCTTTTGCAAAATTTATTTTGATCCTAATACCCACATCAAACCAGTCTTTATACTGATCTCTTCCCAACTACCAAATCAGTTAGCCTAGACAGGTTATTGTATCTAGGTTTTAAGTGCCTTCTGGTTTTACTTCCCTTGGTTTCTAATTTTATAGCATAGAACCTTTTTCTTTGGTGTGACTCTGGCAGCCAGGTTGGTAGATCCTTCTTGCTTCAGGGTTTTGTCCAGTTTTTTGGTCTCCGGTTTCTGACTATTCTGCAGTATCATTGAAGATTTTCACTACCTCCTTACTCAGGTTTTGCCAAACAGATTTTAATTATTCCGGTTCCTTAGATTTGGATCGCTCAAGAGCTTCTATTTTAAGATAGTAGTACCAAGATTACAGGTGATATACCCAACCGATCGTTAAATAATTATTACTGGAACACAGGCTTATTTTTTTAAAAACATCGCTGGCAGGATACAAACTCTAGATCTGCCACTTGGGGGTGACAACTTAACCACTACTCTAAGTCACCATATCGGTATTCCCATCTTTATCAATTAAAATTTGTATTATTTTAGTAAGATATTATTAATACACACTAATTTTCAAATTTTAAAATAGACAATGGATTAGTACATAGCTATTATATTTACTAGTTATTCTTGTACCTGGTAAGTTAGTGATAGGTTTAAACTCAATATAATTTTATTATGCCTTATGATTTAACTGATTTAAAAGTTAAAAAACTCGAAATCATCTGAACAAGCAAAATGCTTTTTCAAAAAAGCCTCAGAAATTAAAAACTTGGCTACATAAAATTTAGTTTATTAATCTAGATTAATTTAGATTTAAAACCCCAATCACTGATCGAAATTTTGAATGCTGTATAATGCAAAATGAAAATAACCTTTGTACCATATATTAATGAATGAATTTTTGTAATCAATGTATCTTGTGTCAAAA